ATGTATATAATTTATATATATATATATATATATATATATAAACTAAAATAAATAAAGGTTTTAGGGCATGGTCACACATGCATGAAATTAACACCGGCAAATTTTCACCTCCTGTTCACTCCCATTTAGTGCGAGCAAAGGGGCGTATAAAACATTGGCTCCTGATGGCAAAGCAAATCTCATCTTCGACTTCAGTGAACACTGACTGGCAAATTCGCAGCCTGAACAATAGTAAAAAAGTAAATATGGAGGACCCATTGATTGTTGCCATGTTTAATGAGCTGAATTACAAATTGCCCTACATTAGAGATGCTGCCTGGCTGGCAGTCAGTAAGCAGACAGGCATGGAACATAAGGAAATTTAAAAAAGGTACCAATAGCTTCATATTTCCCAGTATTTAGCAAGCTAGCAGGTCAGTCGCCTGCACTCGCTCATATCTGACCGTGCCTTTAAGATGCAGAGTATGTAGGCATGCAGGACCCAGTTGTTTTTGTGCTGAAGGGGCGCAAAGTCCCTAATAAATCTGCAGATAATCAAATTACCAAAAAGCAGCTGACATACAGTGAACCTGAAGGTCTGTCATGTCCTCAAGGATTGTACGGTTTGTCTAATAGGGAGGTTTTCACATGAATCTCACAGTTATGATCTTTTAGACACACACACACAAAATCAGTCACACGCTAAAACCCAAAATAAAAAGAATAAAAGTTCACAGGTACTTAAATACTTGGGGTTAAGAGAAATAAAAATGGTATTAGTGTTGAAGGTTAAATATAACCACAGCTGGAGGAAGAGGTTGAAGAACTAAAATATGCATGCAGCCAGGCCGTCTCTCCTCGAGTTGAAAGGTGAAAGGATATCACTAGCGGGGGGGGGGGAACGCCGTCTTTCGTCTGCTCTGGCGAAAGCTTTACACACACTTTTGCCAAAACAGACAGAAACTGTTGACGAGACTCAGGCATAGAGTTTGTAGACGGAAAGGACAAACACACACTCTCTCACACACACACACACACGCGCGCGCCCTCTACATCCACTCACGTGTCCAAAGAACAGCTCAGTAGAGTCAATCACTCTATTTTCACATTATCACGTGTCTTTGGGACATCTCGACATAAAAGCAAGAGTTTGGGACACACTCCAGCGTCCGCTCACTTTCTCTCTCTCACACATACACAAGCATGTACGCAACAAATGCACCCAGCAAATCCTGCTTTGTTTGGTGTGTGTGTGCTACCTTTGGCTGCGGGTGTCAGGGGTGAAAGGTCAGACACTACATGACCTCAGAGAGCCTCCACAGGTACACACCAACCATCACAGACCCTGCTCCTTCACCCCAACAGCCCCGCCTGTGCCTTTGCAGGTTTCACCCCACCCCTCCATTCCATAACAAAGCCCACCCATCTCCATAGCAACTCACAGCTCCCCGAGCAAGGGGTCTCACTATCTTGTAAAAGGAGGTAAGTGTAATTAGTGGTGTGTGTGTGTGTGTGAGTGTAGATGTGTGTGTACCCTGCATGAATGTTTGTGAGAGTATATGTGTGTATTTGTGTGTGTCTGTGTGTGTGTCGGTGTTAAGAGGTATCAGTGGTTCAGTGGTGTCTCTTTAATCTTCATCACTCCTCTCTCTCAGCCCCTCACCCTCCATCACCCCTCTTCTTCTTCTTCGTCTTCTTCTTCTCCTCCCTCATCCTCTCCATCCTCCTCCTCCTCCTCCTCCTCTTCCCTCACTCTTTATTTTTGGACTTGGAAGATGAACAGGCGCAGGTTGATGTTTTTGGCGGCCAGCAGTTTGTTGCACTCCACCGAATCTGAGATGGGCAGAGGGACGTAGTCGGTCTCGTTGGTGTCGTTGCTGAAGGAGTGGTGGTGGATGACCGGCTTGATCCGCACATCGTCATAAGGCCCCTTCAGCAGCAGGAAGGAGCACTCCAGGGCTGAGTTCACCTGCGCACACACAAGCATGTCGCTGTATTAGTCACAACATCTGCAGACAAGGGGTGGACCAAATATGATAATGATATTTTTTTTCTACCTAAACACAACAGTACAACGTCACACTACCCATACTAATGAATATGAAGAGACGCCACTTATTGCTGCGCAATGATGACAGCACAACAACCAAAGCACTGAAGAGAAAATTAAATAAAGAAACTGACAAGAGATGGGAGCTCACAGGGAGTTTTGACACACACACATACACTGAACAAAAATATAAATGCAACACTTTTGTTATCGCTCCTCGCAGCTGCAGACCACATGTAACCACATCCGTCCTGAAAGTCATCTGAGATTTGCTCACTGAAGTATTTCTGCATCAGAAACCATTTCAGTGAAGCTCGTCTGCATGCTCTTCATCCTCAGCAGTGTCTGGACCTGACTACAGTCCGTTGATGTAGCTAATTTGAGTGGGTACTGCTCACCTCTGATGGCGTCTAGCATTTTGGAGAAGTGCTCTCTCCACTCCATCTTGTGTGACCAAAAAACATGTGTCTGTGGCCCTATCCATTTTCATCTGGCCTGGTTGCAGGGGCAGCAGGCTGAGCAAAGCACCCCAAACATCCCTCTCCCCTGCAACACTTTCCAGCTCCTCCTGGGAGACCCAGAGGTGTTCCCAGGCCAGATGAGATATGTAATCCCTCCAGTGTGTTCTGGGTCTGCCCCAGGGCCTCCTACCAGTGGGACGTGCCTGAAACATCTCCAGCAGGACGTGCCCAGGAGGCATCCTGATCAGATGCCTGAACCACCTCAACTGACCCCTTTCAACACGAAGGAGCAACGGCTCTACTCCGAACTCCCTCCGGATGTCCGAGCTCCTTACCCTATCTCTAAGGCTGAGCCCAGCCACCCCACAGAGGAAACTCATTTTGGCCATTTGTATCTGTGACCTCATTCTTTCGGTCACTAGTCAGAGCTCATGACCATAGGTGAGGGTTGGGACGTAGATTAACCAATAAATCGAAAGCTTCGCCTCCTGCATCACTGCAGAAGCTGTTCTGGACCGCCGATCCATCTCACGCTCCATTCTACCCTCACTCGTGAACAAAACCCCGAGATACTTGAACTCCCTCGCTTGAGGCTGTGACTCTCACCCGTCCCGGAGAAGAGTTGGGGAAGAGTCACTGCCTCAAGCGAGGGAGCCCTAGTCATGTGAAATCAATATTTATGTGTGCCTGTTAAATGTAATTTTTCAAGATGAAACTACACATTATAGAGTGGCTTTTTATTGATCAGCCTAAATCAAATGTGTAGCAATGATGCTGTTTAATCAGCATCTTAATATGCCACATCTGTCAGGAGGATGGATTTTCTTGGTAAAGGAGAAGTGCTCGCTAACACAGATTTTAACAAATTTGAGACCAAAGTCTGAGAGAACTAAGTCTTTCTTGTTTGTAGAAGAAGTCTTAAATCTTTTATTTCACCTTGTGAAAACAAGTGCATACTAAAAACTTTAAAAAATAAACACAAACAGACAGAGCAGTGTGTGTACCTTGCTTTTGAGGATGAGCTGGAAGGAGAGGGTGCGCTTGCAGGACAGGTTGGGGTTGCGCTCAGAGTCGTTAACGCGGGCCTTCAGCACCCATGTCTGGTTGAGAACGGTGAAGCGTGGTGTTTCATAGTACAGACGAGTGATGAAGTCATCGGTGCGGTACGGCCTGAACTGCACCTCTGGATGGAAACATGAGGGGAGGAGAAGATTTGACACAGGAATACAGATAATAAGTGGGAGTGAAGGAGAGGGGAATATAACATCTGAAGTGAGAGAAGGATGTGCTACATAAAGATAATTTCACAAACTTCACAGGCAGACATTTATTGACTGTTTGCATTTACCTGTGAACCCGATCTTTTCGTAGCAGAGCAGGCTGAAGATGCTGTTATAGAGCTGCATGTCTCTGCGGTGGCTCTGGTCCATCTCTCCCAGTATTCCCATCAGCTCTGTACCAGTCTTGGTGGGATGGGAGCACTCGCTCTCATGCGCTGGCAGCTCATGGAACGGACCTTGCCAAGGGCAGCCAATCCTCTTGTACTTACACTGTGTCACCCTGGCAACATAATGACGAGTGCGAGTTAAATAACAAACTCGAGGAAGGAGAGACACGGCTTTATATAAATTAGAGGTGCTTTGTGATGAATACATGTACTTTCCTGCAGTGAGAGGAAGGTACTAATAATATCAAGAGGTGTTAATTAGCCTAGGCTGTGAACCTAGGCTAATTAACACTGTACTAATGATACATCTGTGCTGAAAGCCAACCTCAAGGAAAGAAAAGACTTGGATTTATATCAGTCACAACCTGGACTGAGGTGCTGTTCAATGAATACCTGTTCCTTTCTCAAACATAACAGTGAGGTATTAATAATGTGAAAGGTACCAGTTAGCCTCTGTGGTGAACCAAGGATAATTAAAAGCACACTGACGTCATTCACCTCATGTTAACTACAAAGTTCTGTCTTATATAATCAGGCAGCTGGAAGTGGTTCAATACTGTAGTCAGGTATTTTAAAACACCTGTAATCACTGACTGTAATTGCTGCAAATTAAATCCTGAGTCCGATTTTCAGATGGGTGTACTATCCTAAAAAACATAATGGTGGCATTCCTGAGAACAGCAACATCACATTTATGTAAGAAGCAGTCAGATCCTCACAGGAGACCTGCACGCTTTTCAGCCTGACCTGACCAAAAACCTGCTAACTGCCATGGCCGTTGTCATGGCAACATAAGCACGGGCACAGCTGTCCTGAGCAGGGTCACCTGTTGCTATAGCAACAACCCCATAGGATTTCATGCATGCAAATGTGGCCCAGCATGAGCGTCACAGACAAAAGACAAACACTCTGTAATCAAATCAGCTGTTTTTTTCCTCTCCTCAGAAGTAGCAGGTCACATGCTCGCCCATCTTCCCCAAATTAACCCCGTGTGATACCGTTACCACATGCACACATGCCCACGGATATGTACTGGTGAGTTGTACTGGTAGTTTTAGGTGTGTGTTAGATAAGTTTCTATTAAACTACTTTGTAAACTGAAAGACCCTGAACTGACTTGATTAAAGTTTCTGTTATTTCTGGAGAAACTGACTGGAACTCATTTTGAGACTTCACACAAGTGTTGAACCACTAGTTTAGGAGATTACTTAGCTAGGAAACTGTGTTCTATCACACTATGCCTCTCTGTCCCCGTTTCCACCACATTAGCTCTGGTTCTTGAGCTGCGTCAGTTCAGGATTCTTGGAACCTTGCTGCTATCAAGCAAACCAGCCTGCATTTCCACCAGTTTTGAGAGCAATCATTGTAATCAAGGATGTGTCATTAACAGAGGGGGTTGCATAACATACAATGAATCTAAACAGTGGTAGCAAGATGGTGGATCAAGCTGATAACCTCTACCTGTAAGCTTTTGCTCTGTTATTACAGATTTTTGTTTATTACCAAAATATAAGTATGAACAAGCTAACACTGAAAGCACTGCGAGGTCTTTTTTCTGACATTGTTACCCTCTCCATCCTGTCTTTCCAACCTGTGGAAAATGACATGATTTTGTCATAGTTTGCAAGTCAGATCAAGGAAAACCTGCTACTCAGACTCCGAACCTATTTATTTTTGGTCAAAATGCTCCAAACGGTTAAATATCATGATGATAAAGAGCTGTCTGTTCCTCTCTGTACCCACTTTATCACTTCCTACAAACATTTCTTGCAATTTCCTACCTGTCCACCAGATGCCATCATACTTTTTCACCAGACTTCCTCATGCACCTGCTCACCTGTTCTCACTTCCCTCATTAGTCACTCACTGCAAACACCAGCTCAGATCCTTTGTTCCTCTGACACTTCATCCTAGTTGCCATGTACCTTGTGCTTTGGAATCTGAATCTGCCTGCCTACCAACACCTCCCTGTAAGCACATTTATGCACAATAAATCACTGAACTTCCTGTTTCATCTGAGTTTGGGTTCTTTCCCTGCTGCCAAAACTCTCCACTGGGACATGTTTTTGTGTATGTGTGTGTTTTGAGTGTGTACGTGGTGTATACCTGTCCTGGCACTCCTCTTTCTGGTGTCTCTCTAAGCTGGAGCGGGGGAACTGTTTTAGGCAGAAGGTGCATTCTGTCGGCAGCTCACTGACAGCCTTCTCCACCGCGAGGTTCCTGCAGCACAGGTTCTTGCTGATCTCACACCTACACAAAGACAACCACAAATCATACCTCAGGGCAGCAGTGTATACGTAACATTTGTGGTATGTGAAGAATGTTAAGACAAGTTGGTGAAGTATGCACAACCATGACATTATGCTTTTCTCAACTGCTGGACAGTTGTGTTGAGTTGTTTTTGCATTTTCCCAAATGGTGGGTTGTGGCCCAAAAGTGGGATTCCGGTCCATTCTGAATGGATCTTAAGTGACTTGTGAACATGTTAAGTTTGTAAAAAACACAGTTTATTTTGAAATACGGTACCGTTTCCTGCTGTAGAGCGAGGGACTAAGAGGCCGTTTACACGTACACAGTGATTTTGATAAACGGAGACATCTTCCTTCGTTTGTGCCCTTCTTTACACGCAAACGGAGATTTCTCCTCTGAAAACGAGTCTTTCTAAAAACTCCGGCCAGAGTGGAGATTTTGGAAAACTCCAGTTGCGCGTTTGCATGTAAACTGAGATAAAGTGAGATAAACGGAGATAAACGGCGTTATAGGCAGTCGACGTCACAGTATGCACCGGAACTTGCGCCTGTGTCAAAAGTGCGACCAGAGATATTGGATAAAGCGACCTATGTTGCTATGGTGACAATGGATACATGGAAGGCTTGAGCTTCTCGTTACACTGCCACCTACAGGTTTGGCATGCTCTTGTGTATATATACACGGGTAAGTGTAAACGAAGATCTTTTTGAAAACGGAGACGGTGAAATGTCCGTTTATGAAAATAGCCGGCAACGTGTAAACGGCCTCTAATGGACGGCTACTTAACAGAGACAGCAAACTAGCTCAACGACATGGCCAAACACAAGTATGATGCTGAATATATTAAACTGTTTGGACCTTGAACTAGAAGAAGACCTTGAACTAGAAGAAGAAATCTGGACCCTGTGGCTGGACCAGTTGGGAACCACTGACTTAAAGAGCCCAGTGTGGCTTTTGGGGGCATCTTACCGTCATCACTGCATCACTGTTTTTCCTGCTGTTTGACATCATTCTCTGCTTGCCTTAGCTCAATTGTATTTATGTTTTTTCGATGCTCTAATTGCTATTTACATACATACCTGACTCAGAACTGACAGAGACAAATCCAATTTTCTAGATCATTTATTTAACTAGACAAAAAGTATTCTATCTAAATTATTAGGCTGCAAAACTGTTTTGACACAGCAGTGTGGGAGCACTCAAATGTGTGTATAAACAATTATCATATTTAGATGTATCGATATCCACAGTGATGCTCAGACTAATAATCATCAACTAAAGTAAATGACTTCTTCTGATTGGACTAAAGAGCTAGTTTGTATTTCTATGTGCAAGATTCAGGAAGTGCTCCTGTCTACAGCTAACTGGGCGTACCTGCAGTTAGGACATGTGGCCTGCTCCTCCTTGAGACGAGAGTCAGCCAGGAGGTGGATGAAACAGCCTGCACACATCAGGTGTCCATTGGTACACTGTGGTGGGGAAAAAGGTGAGGTGACAGTCACACAAAATGTATGAGGAAAGTGGAGAAAATCATTACAGTGACAAAAACAACAAAAAATACTTGCGTTAGTGCAAGCTGGAAAATTGAAAGTAAACTTTTCTTGTTGAATGTTATGACAAAAATGTGATTATAATTTGTTACAGTTGTGGTTTTTACTTGGGAATGCTTGAAAAAAAAATTTAGAGACTATTTTAGGATTCTACTTTATATTAAAATCAACACAATTTGGGGGAAATGTCATTAGACATGTTTGGCTAAGGCTAGGTGTATTTCCTTTGTCTATTTTAATTCAATATAAGTTAAAATAATGGCTTAGCTTCAGCTTCACATTACAATAGTGACAGAAATGGAAATATATAAAAGCCAGAGTACAACTTAAGAAATACTTTTATAGAGAGAGATCAGGGGTTGCATACTTTTCTATGTAAATATTGACAAGGTTTGGTGGGCATATGGATTAACAGGCCTAATATTTTACTTGTTGTGCTTTTTAATTGATATGCATGTATGTTAAGGGCAGAAGATTGTGTATGGAAAGAGCATGTGTTTACACAGTATTGTTAATAAATGTTAAATGACTGCCGAGAACATGTGGGCTGCATGGTGCAGAAGGGCATGTAAATGTTTAAGACCACCTGAACAATTATTAATTACAAATGTGTTCACTTGACATTGAAGAGAGCAGTTTGAGGTCACTAAGGTGAATGCTGGGGTGGATCAAAGGGAAGGGCAGGAGATTATTAATTAAATTTTAGGTTTTGGTTGAGATCTGGATGTTGGATGTGGGGTTTGGGAATGTGGTTTTTGCTGAGGGTTGTTTGAGGATAATTCACAGTACAGCTGGCCACTCGGCCTGGGTGTGTCTGGTCTCTCAGCCTCATGGCTCAGCTTGGGGCCTGTGTTCAGTCTAACATCACTAATAATAAATGGAGCTGGCCAACACATTCAACAGGTCGTCTGTGAGCTCGGAGGTTGGGACACATGGGGAGTTTCTAGTGTGAGGTGCAGCTTGTTTACTGTTGTTTGACAGTAGGTTTAGGGTTATGAGGGGAAGTGTTGTGATTGACACCACGTTTACCTGGTATACAGACGCCTTGGGCAAGTCTAGGCACACGGTGCAGCACAGCACTGAGTACAGTCTCTCCTCCAGCTTTCCTGACTCTCCCTCGGGCAATCTCACCCTCTTCTTGGGTGGCTCGTCTGCGTCTGGCTCGGGCCCTTCTCGCCGTATCCCGACCTCCTCCTGCATGGCTGCGACCCCAGCGACAGCCTCCACCGCTGCCCCCACGGCCCCGACCCCCATGCCGGCCGAGGAGGAGCCAGGGGCGGCCACAACGCCCACGTCTCTCTCTTCCAGTGAAGACATAGCGATGACTGTCTAGAGATTTCTGAGATGTACCTGCCGCGACCAGGCTGAGCCCGAAATATAAGCAGGTTAGCTCAGGGCTAGCTTACAACCTGTCAAGCTAACGGTCAGCTGACAGCTAGCTAACGTTAGCTAGGCTAACGCTACGGCAGCAGGCTGTCAGAAAGGAATGCAGGCTAACTTATTATTAAAAATAATGCCACCCTCCACTTACGAACTTGGAATTTAACAAGCCAATGATTGTGTAATAACGAGAGCATGTGCAAAATGTAATTATGACTCAATTAAACGTTGACTAGTTTTGTTGACTTACAGTGAGGCTAGCAGACTATGCGGCTAGCTACGTTGACAAAAACACAGCAGTCCTCTCGCTTTGCCCAGGCAGAACAAAAACAACTCAGGCGGCTCTCAGCTGTTGTTGTACTCTCGACGCCGTTATTCGCAATGACAGCAGATTACAACGATGTACACCGTCGGCCCAGCTCGGCTGCTCATCTAACGTCCCTGCTCCGGTACCGGCTGACTGTCCACGGGACCCACGGGACCTGTCGGTGATTAAAGCTGCCGTTAGAGAGAGTTCTGTTGGGACTCGTCTCTCTGGTTACACAGCCATCTTTGTTTTTTTCCTGTCCGTCTCCCCCGACTTCACCCTGCACAGCCTTTACGACTCCGGGTCACACTCGTTATTAGTCAGGCAGGCTCTCAATCGTTTCTAATAATAGAAGTATTTAAAAGTAAGTATTTTTTGCGTGTATCTGTAACGGCCTCTGTGTGCCTGAGACTACTTCACTACAGCCGTGTGTTGGCTGACAGCGGAATGTTTTATTGTGGCAGATGACTTGGGGTATTTAAAGAGTTTTACACGGCGCATGCGTGGTGAGCACCTGCGGGTCAGTGTATGGCAGGACTTGAAAGGTGACCAAAAACTGATATGCGACAAATTTAGGCCACTCCGATAGAGGCACGCATCCTTTATACACATGCAATGTTTATAAACCACGTCTACAAGTTGTTATAACACCTTAAATAATCTGTGACATGAAAAACTTTTAACAAAAACACATTGTTTTTGCTGCCATGTGGCTGTTTTCTATCAACGTGGTTCAACTGGTCGTGAGGGGCCCAGTGTTTGTGCATAAATAATTCAGCCAGAAAAACAGGGTGATCGAAGAAAGCCTCAGCTAACCTTGGCCACTGATACTAGGTCATCTATAAGTTTATTCATCCCATCAGTGCCCCAGATATGTGGATTAGCTGCCTCAAGGGCTGGGAGGGGTGCATTTGTGTTGCCCTACTGGATGGGGGGCTGTGTGTGTATGTGTGTGTGCTTGGCATAGGTGGGGCAGGATGTCAAAGTGTCAGCTGTCTGCAATCGGCAGGGACAGGGCTAACCACTCCCATTGGACAGACAGATATGCCTTATTTGGTCTGTGTGGAATGGCAGTGAGACATACCACCCTCAGCTATGCACACACAGCTCAGCCAGTAGCTGTATGTGGTCTCACACTGGCCTGAATGGCCATTATTCTCCACTGAATTTTACCACACATTAATTTGCTATCTGTTTGCCGTCACAAGATAACAGTGCCAGGATTATTAATTCAAATAAGCAGTAGTTTGTTGCCAAAATATACACAATAAACACACTGTCAGAGAGGTGGCATTCAAGAGTTTAGTAAATATGGCAAACTTTACGGGGACTTAAAGGAAAAGTTCTTGGTACAGGTATTTTTAGTTCATGAACATGTAGTAAACAAATGTTGCTGGATAAACAAGCCTTGCACAGACTTCTAAGAATTGACTTAAAGGGGAAGTCCGTCAGTGTCGCCCCACAAGCAATCAAAAATAGATACCACTCGTAATGGCGGACACGATAACATACCACATTGAGTCAAACATGGCTTGCAGAAGAAAAAAAAAAACTTCAGAAATGTACTTAAAAGTATTTTCATGAATACACAACATTAGAAACACTGACAAACTGTAAATACTGTATGTTTACATTTAAATTAAATCCTACATGATCGACTCCATTCATTTCAACACAGTGCTCACATTGTGTCTCCACTTCCTGTCATACCTTGGTCATTACACAACGTTTCGTCATCAGTTTGTGATTGCAGGATACATGGATTACACACATTTATGAGATTTATTTTGCCTCATCAATCAGACCCTATTCAATCCCAGGAGAGTAAATCACATCATCTGCAGGTTGTTCAAGGGTTCAGCTGGCAGGAAATCTGCGGTATTGTCCGGAACAATGAAAGTGATGACCCTGATCTAATCACACGGTTAAACGGGAGATTGACATTGAGGTCAAGACTGCGTGGGTAGGTGGGTGGTGGTAGTGTGACAGTTCGGCTCGTCATAGTGTTCGGCTGGGTGGTTTTGGACAGTGGTTGTGGTGGGGTTGGGCAGGGTGGAGGTGATGTTCTGATGACCCGCTCTGGTTTGTGCTGTATTAGGTGGTGAAGATGGAGGTGACTGCTGTTGGCCGTTCTGGTTCGATTGTGTCGTAATCTGGGATGGAAGTTCTGTTTGAGCAGGGGGGGCACTGAGTTCATTGAGTTCAACTCTCTGGCTCATTGGGCCGCCAGCATCACAGTTTAGGGGACCTGGATCCTGTATTTCTGGTCTGCTGGCTGAGGCAGAAACTGTAGGGGTGCACTCTGGTCTCTGCTGACCAGGTGTGGCCTCTGAAGGTGTGTGCACTTGTGTTGGTTTGTCCGCATCTTGTCCTCTAACTGTGTTCATCTCACTTTGTCTCTCATCAGGTTTACTGAACTCTTTTTCTCCCTCGCTGCTGGTGTGTCCTGGTGTTTTGTTCATCACTGTTTCTGCTGCATTGATCTGAGCGAGCCTCTGGGCTGGTCTCAACTTGTCTGGTCCTGCTCCAGTATCTGTTGTCTCTCTCTGAGTTTTGTCTGAGAGTGCCCTCTGCCTGCAAACTGAAGCCATAGCCTTCACCCAGGGATGCAGCAAGGTCTGCTCTGCCGTCAGCCTCGCTGTGGGGTCTGACTGAAGCAGAGCTCTGACAAGGCCTCTGGCTTCTGCACACAAACACACACATACATATTAATAATAAACAGAGTGTATATTTAGTTGCTTGTGATTGCACACTTTATTATTCTGTACTTTTCACCTTCTGAGATGGGGTCCCAGTAGGGGGACAGGAAGTGGATTTGTCCCTGTTTTATTAGCTGGAACAGCTCTTCCTGGTCCCGATCCCGACTGCGAAATGGTGGAAATCCACACAGCAGGATGTAGAGAATAACACCCAGAGCCCATATGTCCACTGCAACTCCATAACCTGTTGGGTCAAACCGCAATTAAAGGTCCAGTGTGTAGAATTTAGGGGGTTGTATCAGCAGGAATATAATATAATATAGCAAGTGTGTTTTCTTTATAATCACCTGAAAATAAGAATTGTTGTGTTTTTGTTACCTTAGAATGAGACATTTATATCTACATAAGGAGAAGATCCTTGTCTATGGATACCGCCATGTGTTTCTAGAGTAGCCCAGTATGGGCAAACCAAATACTGGCTCTAGATAGGGCCTTTCACATTTGAAAATAGACCCATGTGGATAATTTGGCTCCTTGTAAAAAGCTCCTGAACAACACTGAAGGAATTCTAACCAGGAGAAGTTTCAGCTGGTTGCAATCGGTAATCCTCACCACTAGATGGCACTGAGTCCCTCTAAATCTTACACATACTCCTTTAATTTTGAAAATACCACTCAAAATTATATCAGAAATTAACAAGAACAGAAGTGTTAGAGTTTTACATTATTTTTGGTAAAGTAGTGATTTCTGCAGCAAACAGCACACCTGTCTCGCAGAGAATCTCTGGAGCTACATATGTGGGTGTGCCACATATCGTGTAGACTGGTTCAGTCACAATCATGGCGAGACCAAAGTCTCCCAGCTTCAGCCTGCAGATGCCAGCAGCCACACGCTCTATCTGAGACAAGACAAGACAAGACACAGACAGAAACAGAGTCAGGCACGGAGGCGTTGAGACTATATTTCAATAATCAAATATCACGCTCGCTATAAAAACTTGTGTTACTGACACTGTTATGTATTTTTAGTTTTGCAGAATATTGACCTCAGTTTTTATCATTTTTGTTCTAATTTAATGGAAAATAATATAGAAAAACTTTCTTTAAAGCCAATTTTGAATATATAACATTATGAGACAAAAAAATATATATATTGAATAAATTTGCTTTTTAACCCTTTGAAACCTGGAGGGACATCACCTTTTCTTGTGCTGCTTTCAGACCCCTTTTGCAAGTATTTCAACGTGTAAACCCTGAGCAAATTGATGCAATTTCTTTCAGAAACATGGGGGAAAAGGCAGTGACCAACTTGATAAAAAATGTTCCACAAATTGCAAAAAAAAAATTATGAGATTTAGAAAATTATTTTTAAAAAGCTAGGGGAAATCTATGTATAATTATCATTATTTTATATTTAAATAATGCTACAACATTATTATATTTTTTAAGTCCCCTTTCCAGTTTTTTTTTTTTTTAAACAAATGTTTATGTTTTTAATTTTATCTTTTTACTAATTTGTTGCTAATTTTTTGGGTCATTTTTCTTCATTATTTATTTCCTCCTTTCTGTGTTTTTGAAAGAAACCAAGTCAGTTTGCTCAGGTTTCAAAGGGTTAAATATTAAAGCCACTATGAGTAGAATTTTTAAAATGAATATCTCTAGCACACCCTAGTGGCAATGTAGAAAACAGGTTGTCTAAAACTTTTACAAAAAAAGTATGCCAACAGTATAATTTTTAAAGATGTAATCATCACGTACAGATTCACACAAAACTATCAAAATCATTGACCCTTTTGAAACATGCTTTAAAATACACCTTGGGCGATCAGATCACAAGTGTAAAGCACTGAATAGAAGTTTAAATGTTATCTAATCACTCAAGCCACTTGCCGAGGACGTCTGGGACGCATTTGAACACATATTTTGTTATGTAAATGCTGATGCACCTCGACAAGGATGTAATAGGAAAAGATGTCATCAGTGAAGGATATGGTGTTTGTTTTGGTGACAGAGTACTAACACTCTAGTTTGGCCATTTCACGATAAGTTTGATGAAGTCTTGTTGTCTTGCCTGATTTTGTAGGTATTTTGTGTCTGTCTGACACTTACCAGCAGGTTTTCTGGTTTGAGGTCTCGGTGGACGATACTTTTGCAGTGGATGTAGTTCAGTGCTTCGCTCACATCTGACACCATCAGTCCCGCCTCTGCCTCCGGAAACTTCCCCCTCTCACTGATGGCCTCAAACAGATCACCCCCGCTCACCAGCTCCATCACCAGGTACAAGTGAGTGTGTGTGTGGTGGTGCGCAAACAGCCGCACAATGCGAGGGTGACAGAGGCTTCCCAGGAGGCTCAGCTCGTTCTGCATCATGTGCTCTCGACCGATCAGCTTGGAGCGTTCAACAATCTTCACAGCGAGGGTTTGGCCATTGTCACGTCGGCGGCACTCTCGCACTACTGCAAAGTTGCCGTCACCAACCACACGTCCAATTTCATAGCAACGCTCAATATGTGTCAGGGTGACATCACTGCCGTCTGAGGGAAGGTCAAAGGTCGCCCTCTGCTGTTTCTCCTCGTGTACTTGACCCACATCTGGAAGTGGGTTTGAAACTAAATGGGCAACACTCTTCTCCTTGTCTCCTCTGATTGGCTGAGGAGGTGGAGGGCTGATGTGAACGGAGAGTTTTCTCACTTCCTGTTCTACATAAGAACTTCTTTTCTGCTTCCTCGACACAGGAGGAAGTGGGACTCTCCCTGACAATGGATTGAGTCGCTCTGGACCCTGATGTTTAACTCTCCTTGCTAAGCAGTCTTCACACAGTGTAGGAGAGGGTACGTCTGCTTCTCTAAGACCTTCCTCATGTTTGAACGGACCAATGACAGATGGCTGTTGCTCCTTGACCCCGCCCCTCACACGGAGTCTCTGCAGGTGGTTGGGGAGGTGAGCAGGTTTCCTGCATGAAATCTTTTTATGACACTTCTGAACATCTGAGTTATGGTTTTCAGGCTGGTGTGTGTCGACACGGTGAGGTGGTTGTGTACTTGTGTGTGTATTAGTATGATTTTTGACATGTGTATTTGTGTCTTGGTTAGTGTGTGTCTCGCTGCTGTCTGTCCCCTCACTGTATCCACTGTCAGTCTTAGCTGCTTTATCTGGCGCTGGGCGAAGTCTTTTCTCCCAGGCCCGCAGTGCATCGGCCCGGTAATGGGAATGTTCTGGAAACAGCTCCTCCAGAGCCTCATGCACACTGCTCAGTTCCGGACGAGCCTTTCCCAGCGCCAGGAAGGCCACCTCGCCTCGGAAGAAATCACATACACCTTTCACCTATTGAAGAAAAAGAGATTAAGTTGTGATTTAAAGGAACAGTTCACCCAAAACTCAAGACTAGATAATTTTCCTCTTACCTGTAGTGCTATTTATCAACCTAGATTGTTTTGGTGTGAGTTGCTGAGTGTTGGAGATGTCTGCCTTCTCTCGAATACAATGAAACTAGATGGCACTTGGCTTGTGGTGCTCAAAGCACCATTTGAAAAATTTAACAGCAATGTCTCTTTCTGGAAATCACACTCAAGATTTCTTTCTGTAAAGCAGAAAGAAGCAGAAAGCAGTGGGCCTTCTATGAGAGAACACAGAGTGGCTCCCAGGTCATTTGATTTTGAGAGCCTTGTTTCATCATTGCATGCAGCCCGGGAGCATGATATTTCTAAATTCTCATTGGGATGATGTCCAAATATCCCGTTATTTCAGCTTACTGTTGCCGCCCTTTTGATTTATTTGCCCCACTCATTAGATGGGTGTCACCTGAAAACCAGTGAGTGTTAAGCCCCAAACTGGATCACCAACTGGGCAGAGCAGGACAAAGAGTGACAATGGCCCGGGGCCCCATCACTTCAGGAACTTTGAAAGCTCCAGGTCCACCATGTATCAACTTGTTTGAGTGATTTAAATTGAGCATTTGCATGAGAGCAGCTGACATGACAAAGGGCTTAAAGGTGTGTTCCACCTCATCTTCAGGCTCTGTCATTAGGAGGGTCCATGTGTCAAAATTTACTGTCAAAACCTTCATATATTTTTGATTTTGTGCTTTCATGTGTTATATTCCCTGCACCTTACAGTAAACCTGGGGGGCAGGTACACAACGCAGATGTGGGAGAGTGGTTAAAAGGGGCCCATCAGATCATCTTTGCCTCAAGGTTCCCTAGTAGGGTTAATGCAGCTGTGATTGAGCCTCACCTCTCGAGCGTGGGTCGTGTACAGGCGTGTGACTCTGGCCCTGTGCCAGCGAGGAAAGCCCAATGCCTCAGAGATATCCAATAGCAGTTGCTCAAAGGACACCACACCTCTACGGTTCAGAAGGACTGTCACCTTGAGGACAGAGAGACAAAATTTACAGCAAGGTTATGAAATGAATTCCCATGTCTTTTCTCTAGATGTGCTATTAATGAGAGCAACATTTGGGTTGCCAGGTTGTAAAAAGCCCCTTTGCCTGGTTCAGGGTCATTTTGGTGTATTTCTAGCTCTCTTATGGACGGCCAAACTGCAACATACCTTCACCAAAATAATCCATTCATTTACCATTTGTTAACATTCATAATTGCAGGCTTAAAGACTTATTAGCAAGTGAAACACCCATGAGGGCTTGTCAGTGTGTTACAAACATTATGACTTTATATTCCCAAATAGAAAGGGTAAACACCTACAACCTCTCAACCCAAACATTGTCTTATTAACACCTTATAACTAATCAATGACATACCAGTAAAATATTTATTAACCATTGATAAAGCCTTTAGTTACAACATATAAACCAGGGCCGTAATCATATATTTAACATTGGGGAGGACC